TTGAGTTAGAAAACCCATGGTATAAAGAGGCTGATTTCTAAAATATGCTATTAATTTAGGTAGTGAATGCTGGTTGTCACATAGAGAAAAGCATCTTGTAAATAAGTAATGCTCAATTTTTCTTTACGTATTCCAACGATACTCTTCTGTTGCTCATTCAAAACTGACTGACAGCATCTCTCATCATAACGATGGCATGTCAGCAACTGCAGAAGTCAAACCTTAGAGTCTAGGTAGAAACAACTCAGGAAAGGAATGTGCTATATTCTTTCTCTAGAAATCCATTTGCTTCATTCTTTACAATTTTGAGAAAAACATTGGGAGTCACGATAGGCTAAATTTTCTTTTTATTAAGAGAAAGCTTTGCTTCACGCAGGAGGTGAAGGCTGCAGTGAGCCATGATCAAGCCACTGTCTCCAGGTGACTGAGTGAGACCCTGTCTCAAAAAAAAAAAAAAAAAAAAAAAGCATGTTTAAATTTTCAAACTAAAACATAATCATTCCTGCCTTACATATTAAAAATGTAATAGCTAACTCTGAAGCTACCAAGAAAGCTGATGAGCATAGAGGGAATTCAAGTATTAGGAGACCTGCTGGACGAGATTAACTTTCATATTCCTGCCAACACAGAAGATCTATAATTCCAGGCCAGGCACTGTGGCTCATGCCTGTAATCCCAGCACTTCGGGAGGCTGAGATGGGTGGATCACTTGAGGTCAGGAGTTCAAGACCAGCCTGGCCAACATGGTAAAACCTTGTCTCTACTAAAAATACAAAAATTAGCTGGGCATGGTGGTGGGTGCCCATAATCCCAGCTACTTGGGAGACTGAGGCAGGAGAATCGCTTGCACCCAGGAGATGGAGGTTGCAGTGAGCCAAGATTGTGCCACTGCACTGCAGCCTGGGTGACAGGGTGATATTCTGTCTCATAAAAAACTATAATTCCGAAGAAATAGACTTGTACCTCAATCCTAGCAACATAAATAAAACTATTATTACTATTATTATTATTATTTTGAGACAGCGTCTTGCTCTGTCACCCAGGCTGGAGTGCAGTGGCACAATCTTAGTTTACCACAACCTCCACCTCCTGGGCTAAAGCAATCCTCCCACTTCAGCTTCCAGAGTATCTGGGACTACAGGCAAATGCCACCATGCCCGGCTGATTTTTTGTGTTTTTTGTAGAGACAACGTTTCTAATGTTTCCCAGGCTGGTCTTGAGCCATCTGCCCTCCTTGGCCTCCCAAAGTGCTGGGGTTACAGGGGTGAGCCACAGCTCCCAACTCTGTTATGTGATTTTTAAAAATGGATCAAAGACATAAGAGCTAAAACTCTAAGACTCTTAAAGAAAACATAGGGTCAAGATCTTCATGACTTTGGATTTGCCAACGCTTTCTTGGCTATGACACAAAATCAGTCAACAAAGGACAAAAAAATAGATAAATTGGACTTCATCAAAATTTCAAACTTTTGTGCAAAGGACACTACCAAAGAGTGAAAAGGCAACCAACAAAATGGGAGAAAATATATGCAAATTATATATCTGATAAGAGATGATGATGATGATGATGATGATTTGAGACAGAGTCTTGCTCTTTTGTCCAGGCTGGAGCACAGTGGCATGTTCTCAGCTCACTGCAGCCTCAACCTTGTGGGCTCAAACCATCCTCCCCTCTTAGCCCGCTGAGTAGCTGGGACTACAAGCACACACCACTACACCTGGCTGTTTTTTGTAGAGGTGGGGTTTTGTCATGTTGCTCAGGCTGGTCTTGAACTCCTGAGCTCAAGCAATCCACCCACCTCAGCCTCCCAAAGTGCTGGGATTACAGGCATGAGCCACCATGCCCGGCCATGATAAGAGATTAATATCCGGAGTATACAGAGAACTTCTGACACTCAACAATAACAAAAAACCCAATTGAAAAATGGACAAAGGTCTTAAATAGATGTTTCTCCAAAGAAAATATACAAACAGCCAAAAAGCACATGAAAAGATGCTCAACATCACTAATTATGAGGGACATGCATGAGATACTACCTCACAGTCATTAGGATGACCATTGTCAAAAAAAAAAAAAAAAAAGGAAACAAGTGTTGACGAGGATGTGGAGAAATTAGAAATCTTGTCCATTGCTGGCAGGAATGTAAAATGGTACAGCCACTGTGGAAAGCAGTATAATGGTTCTTTGAAAGTTAAACATAGAATTACCACCCAGCAAACCCACTTCTAGGTATATGATACCCAAAAGAATTGAAAACAGGGACTTGAATGGGTATTTGTACACCAATATTCATAGCAGCAGTATTCTCAGTGAAGTATTGATACATACCACATGGATGAACTGAAAATTATACTAAGGGAAATCAGCCAGACACAAAAGGACACATATTATATTATTCCATTTATGTGGGGTACCTAGAATAGGCAAATTCATAAGAACAGAAAGTAGAATAGTGGCTGACAGAGGCTGGGGAAAGGGGGAATGGGGACTTACCACTTAATGGGAACAGAATCTTGGTTCGGGATGATGAAAAAGTTCTGGAGATGTATAGTGGTGACGGTTGCATAACAATATATGAATAATCTTAATGTCACTGCATTGCACACTTAAAGATTGTTAAAATGGTAAATATGTTAAGTATATTTTATCACAGTTAAAAAATGTATAAAGTTTCAAGAAATGGGGGGAAAATACTATTAACAACTCTAGTAACAGTTGCATCAGCAAAAAGATCCTTCTCAAAATGAAAAAGTATCAAATATTCCTTGCTATCTTACAACTGCCAAGAGCAACTGACATCACATTCAGTTATACTGATTGAAAATTAGGTTGTTAAAAGCATAAACTTTGATGACCTAATCAATGAATTTTCAGAAAAGCCGGTCAGAAAAATCCTATGATCAAGATATTGCATAAAGTAATATATAGTATCATATAAAATTATGACACCAAAAATTTTTTTTAAAATTTATGTATATATTGATACCCATGTATCTCTATTAACCTTATTATATTTTACAAATAATAAAACATTTTTTAAAGGAAAAAGCTTTATAGTTAGCTTTTTTTTTTTTTTTTGAGGCGGAGTCTCGCTCTGTCACCCAGGCTTGAGTGCAGTGGCACAATCTTGGCTCACTGCAGCCTCCACTTCCCCGGTTCAAGCAATTCTCCTGCCTCAGCCCCCTGAGTAGCTGGGATTACAGGCACGCACCACCACGCCTGGCTAATCTTTTTGTATTTTTAATAGAGACAGGGTTTCACCATGTTGGCCAGTCTGGTCTCGAACCCCTGACCTCAGGTGATCCGCCTGCCTCGGCCTCCCAGAGTGCTGGGATTACAGGTGTGAGCCACCACGCCCAGCCTATAGTTAGTATATTAATGGCACGTTCCTCTGCTTTTGGAAAAGGAGCTCTGTATTCTCAGTTTTGTTTTGGCGAAGCCCCACAAATTATGTAGCTGGCCCTGGTGCCAGCTTACCCGTTGATAGCCTGTCCAGCTTTGATCAAGTCACTTACCCTCTGCACCAGTTTTCTCACCTCCCAAATGGGAACATTTACCCTGCATGAACATTTGTGCATATGTGCATGTGTATGTCTCCATGTCTCTCTGTGTATGTGTGTGTGTATGAAAGTGGTTTGAAAAAGTATAGATGCTTTAAAATATTGGGTGGCATTGTTGTGACTGTGAATAATTTTTAACCACTGCCCTTCCTGGAGTCTGACTCTTTAGCCAAACACATTTACTGGAAATGAAGAAACTAATTCATTTAATTCATTATTTTCCATGGGGCTTTCTAGACAAATATTTGAGAAAGGAGCTAAATGATTCATGTGGTCCATAAAGGTATCATTTTTATAGACTGGTGGTTATTTTATTATTATTATTATTTTGAGATAGAGTTTTGCTCTTGTCGCCTATGCTGGAGTGCAATGGCGTGTTTTTGGCTCACTGCAACCTCCGCCTCCTGGGTTCAAGCGATTCTCCTGCCTTAGCCTTCCTAGTAGCTGGGATTACAGGCAGCCACTACCTCGCCCGGCTAATTTTTGTATTATTAGTAGAGACGGGGTTTCGCCATGTTGGCCAGGCTGGTCTCAAACTCCTGACCTCAGGTGATCCACACGCCTTGGCCTCCCAGAATGCTGGGATTACAGGCGTGAGCCACCATGCCTGGCCCTAGACTAGTGATTTTATAGATGGCATTTCTTCACACGACTAAAAGCAGAGTCTAAACTGAAAATGATACGAAAACACTAGACTTCAGTCAACAGTCTTAAAAGCCTAAACTCTCAAATACACTGTTTGATAAACCCTCTGACTTTTAAGTAACTCAAAGGAAAAACACCAGCAGGAGAGCAGAGTGCCCCCAGAATCGTCCTTGGGCCATCTGTAGATCTTGTCTTACGATTCAGTGCTGCTGAGTATAAACAGAGACACTGCTGTAAATAGAAGCAAAACTGTCCCTGCACTCAGATGGCTGCATCTGGGAGCTCTGCCAAATTAGAGGATTTAGGAGTCTGAGAGCCATGTGGGTTCCAAAGCAGAAGCTGGGGTCTCACATCTGAACTTCTACTTAACACACACTTGTTACAAACTCTGACAATATTGTGACCCTTGGTAAAGTGACTATTAACCCCTATCACTGGGGCTTTCCTGAGCCCTTTACACATCCTCCTGACTCTCCTTGGAGACTGTGTAGGTAGCTAGCTGGCTGAGGGGTGCGGCTAGGACCTTCAGGCAAGCTCTTCTACCAAGAGGCTGGCCCTGAAGAGCCACACTTGTAACTGATCAATAGGTAAACAAGCTGGTGGGGGTAGAACTCCGAATGCTTCACCGTTTCTGCGTCCTCGAAGTTGGTCAACATCTCCCTCCTCCAGGGTGGCAGAATCCACTTTGAAGTGTTCTCTGTCCCTGGCCCTCCCACTCCCTAACCTTTGCCCTCTTTCTAATTGCCCTGATCTCATCCCAACCTCCGTAGCTATGTTTAAAGTCCACCTCTGGGGAACAGACAGATTGAATGTTCCAGATAATCCCTTTCCCAGTCCTGCCTGACATCTGGGTAGGGGGTTTGTCCCTGGACTTCTGGGACACTGGCTGGGGTTTGAGGAGAGAAGCCAGTACCTACCTGGCTGCAGGATGAAGCTGGCCAGTGGCTTCTTGGTTTTGTGGCTCAGCCTTGGGGTTGGCCTGGCTCAGAGTGACAGGAGCCCTGATGCGGAGGAGTCCTATTCAGACTGGGGCCTTCGGCACCTCCGGGGAAGCTTTGAATCTGTCAACAGCTACTTCGATTCTTTTCTGGAGCTGCTGGGAGGGAAGAATGGAGTCTGTCAGTACAGGTGCCGATATGGTGAGTGTGCGTTTTCTCTTTCTGTGAAAACTGTCGCTGGTGGACCCATGGGCAGCCCCAGAGAGGCCACGATCTGTCTTGGACTTTTTCCTGTTAACCATTTAGAGCTGTCAGATTTAGCAGATAAAAATGTAGGACACCCAGTGAAATGTGAAATCCAAATGAACAACAAATAAGTCATTAGTATAAGTATATCCAGTGAAATATCTGGAACATACTTATCCTGACAAATTCTTCGTTATCTCAAACTCACATTTCACTGAGCTTCCTGTATTGTATCTGGGTAACCTTCCCTGGGCCATTTTATGAGTTTGTTGTGAGGCTGTTCTTAGGAAAAGGGTAGCTGGGGTGGGAAGAAGGAGGGTAGGTGTGAGAGGTCTCTGTGAGGAGTTCCCAGGGATGAAAACTGAAGCTGAACATGCAGAGGAAAATCTGCCACGGGGCAAAACCGCCTCTTCAGTTGCTCTGTGCTCAGCTTGGAAACAAATTGTCCCTCCCCGCTGCTGCAGTTCACACCGTCCTCCCAGCTCTCGGTCCCTGACTGCCATCAATTTATTGGACTTTCCCAGGGGAGCTGTCCCTGCCTGCGGCCTCGGCAATGACAGGCCTGCTGTGGAGAGAAAGGGTTCGTGGCTCACCAGGGATCCCAAGGGCTGTCCCCTGGGCTTGGCGCCAGATGTAGAATTGTGAGCTGGCAGGAGCACTTCCCCTACCTTGCCTGAGTAGGACTGGGGTACACAGGAGCTGAGGTGCACACCTGACTGCCGGCACGGAGTCCCTGGCACGAGTGCTTCCTTCACTGGGCCCTGGAAATTAATGTAATGGGAGCAAAACGTGGAGCCCCAGGCCCTGAAGCTGGGTGGCACCTTGTAATTGCCAATGCGCATGAAAGCATGCACAGTCTCAGGTCATGGGTAGCATTAGTTTTATGGTTTAATTAGTCAACTATCTCATCATGGGATTAGAAATGAAAATGGTCAGTTTAGCCTAACAGGAAAAAATATTTGAGAAATATTTTCTCCAAATAACAGAGAAAAAGTCCGCTTTCAAGAGACACACAAAAAAACTACAAACTTCCCGGACTCACCCCATAAGTCTCTCTATTCGTTTTTGAATGGGGAAAATCGCTTCCTTACACACTAACAGTGACTAGGAGGTAATGGTTAATCATTGCATCAGGACCCAAAGTTTTGCAGCATAGATGCTTTAACCATCTATAGTTAAAATCTATGGTTTAACCATCTATGCTGCAGCTTCTTTGTGAAAGCTTCACAGAGAAAAATGCCTGGTCTGTTAGGACTACCTGGCCCTGAAACCGTGTATTTGGCCAAGGCAGTTAGACCAACGCAGAGGCCTTGCCACTGGATTATGCTCACCTCGTTTGCACAGATGGGGCAGGGAAGGGGTTGACTCACTTCAGACATTGGAATCAACACAGGTGTTTTCCTTCCTAAAGGCAACACAAGACTAATATCTGTGGTTCAGCAAATAGGTAACAGCAGGAATTTTTATTAGGAAATCAAGAACCAAACCCTCTTCTTCCTTCTCTAGCAAAACAGCATTAAAAGACTTCAGCAAATTTTAGTTGCAGAGCCTCTGGCTGGGCAGGGTGGACGCCAGCAGCAACTGGTGGGGGATGGGAAGAGTAAATAGAGAGAAGAGGAAGGCAAATAACTCTCCTTACTTTGTGTAAAACGGCCTGCTCAATGAGAGGCCTGAAAAACACTTAGAAAAATAGGGGACTACGCCTCCTTACCTTGGAACCCAGTGGAGCCAAAAACCTGTCGGCTGTGCCCAAGAGTACAAAATATCTTCTCAAATTGATCGTGAATCGAGCAATCTTTGGAACAGACAACGCCTACTAACGAGTCTGCGCTTTTGTAGTTTGCTCTGCGACGCAGCTCTCATGCACCGTGCTTGTTTTTTAAGTAGTGATTCTCAAACTCGCCTGTGCATTGAAGCCCCTGGAGGGCTGATTTAAATAGGTCGCCGGGCCCCACTCCAGGTGTTTCTGATTAGTAAGAGTTTCTGGGCTTAGGAGATCCTCCTGCCTCAGCCTCTCAGTTAGCTTGGGCTACAAGTATGCGCCACCATGCCCAGATAATGTTGTAACTTTTTGTAGAGAAGGGAGTCTCACCATCTTACCCAGGCTGGTCTCCAACTCCGGGGTTCCAGCAATCCTCCCAACTTGGCCTCCCAAATTGCTGGGATTATAGGCGTGAGCCACAGCACCAGCCAGATCTTACCTTTGATAGGTACTAACTACTATTTAAAACAGCGGCTTTCTAACTTGGGTACACTTCAGATCACCTGAGGGGCTTTAACAACACCTGGCACCAAATCAATTAAATCAAAATTTCTGTGGGTTGGTCCCAGACATCAGTAGTTTAACATTTTTCCCAGGTGATTGCAAAGCACAGCCGAGGTAAAGGAATGCCATTCGATGACGTCATTCTTAGAGAACTTCAGCCCACAGGTTAAATTATGCAGGCAGATAAAACTGTGTATGTATCCTGGTAGCCCACGATAGCATGTCAACATTGTTTTCCGTGCTTCTCCTATCTAAAGTAATTTGTTCTCATGCCAACACACAAAATCTGTACTTGTCAAACAAGTGGGCTATAAATATGACAAGATCCAGCGTGTGTCAATGGCATACCTAGCACAGCTGTCATTAAGGAGTCTGTACCAGCCGGGCGCGGTGGCTCAAGCCTGTAATGCCAGCACTTTGGGAGGCCGAGGTGGGCAGATCACGAGGTCAAGAGATCGAGACCATCCTGGCTAACATGGTGAAACCCTGTCTCTACTAAAAATACAAAAAAAAATAGCCGGGCATGGTGGCGAGCGCCTGTAGTCCCAGCTACTCGGGAGGCTGAGGCAGAAGAATGGTGTGAACCCGGGAGGTGGAGCTTGCAGTGAGCCGAGATTGCGCCACTGCACTCCAGCCTGGGCGACATAGCGAAACTCCGTCTGAAAAAAAAAAAAAAAAGAAAAAAGACTGTACCAATGCAAACAAGACTTCCTTGAGAATTGTTTCCAAAATGTAGATACCCTTTTCCATCTCCAGAGATTCTGATGCAGTAGGCCTGTGGAGGGACCTTGGAACTGCACTTTTTTTTTTTTTTTTTTTGAGACAGAGTCTCACTCTATCACCCAGGCTGGAATGCACCACCACCACACCCAGCTAATTTTTTGTATTTTTAGTAGAGACGGGGTTTCATTGTGAGCTAGGATGGTCTCGATCTCCTGATCTCGTGATCCGCCCCCCTCGGCCTCCCAAAGTGCTGGGATTACAGATGTGAGCCACCTCGCCTGGCTGGAACTGCACTTTTAATGGGTAGTCTTTGAACTAGACTTTGAGAAATAAGCATGGTAATGGAAAAATCATGGATTTGAATTTAGGGGAAAATATCCCATTGCTGGTGACCTTGGGTGAGTTATCTGACTCTCTCAACCTTAGTTTCCTCAAATATGTAAAAATAGTGTTACTAATACCCACCTTGCAAAGGTGTTGTGAGAATTAAAGATAATATACATAAAGAATCAGTAGTATATAGAGAGCATGGTAGGTACCAAACAAATTTTATAAACGTTATGAGAAAGACAGTCTAGTGAACAGGTTAATTGCATTCAGATTCTTCCAGTTCTCTTTCAACATAAAAATGAAAAATCCCAGAAATCCCAGTGGCTGGACAACAGCCTCTCAGCTTCTGGAAGAAGTCCCTCGAGGGAACAATGACTGGAGAGTTATCTGCCTCACGAAGGTCTCTGGAGCTGGGTCAATGGAGCAGAGTTTCTATGATGATGCTGTTCACACTTTCACACTTTAATAAAAGATCCTGAAAATGAATTTCTTCCTGGATTTAGTTCCAAGAGTAAAAGTATCTTAAAAGTTTCTTTAACCATCAATCTATTGTAATCCCAGCACTTTGGGAGGCTGAGGCAGGTGGATCATTTGAAGTCAGGAGTTTGAGACCAGCCTGGCCAACATGGTGAAACCCCATCTGTACTAAAAATACAAAAATTAGCTGGGTGTGGTGGCGCAACCTGTAATCCTAGCTACTTGGGAGGCTGACGCAGGAGAATCACTTGAACCCGGGAGGCGGAGGTTGCAGTGAGCCGAGATCACGCCATTGCACTCCAGCCTGGGCAACAGAGCGAGATTAAGTTTCAAAAATAAACAAATAAATAAATAAAAATAAATATCGGTCTATTTTTTAAAGAGAATTTTTATCTGACGTTTTACAGCAAAATTTTATAAACCTGTGAGTTTGTATCTTTTTCCAGGGAAATAACTCACAGACTTCATCAGATTCTCCAGGGGATCCAGAGCCCAAAAAATGAAAACAGCCACTGGCTTAGAGGCAAACAGATTATTCTTGTTTTTGGGTGACTGACCTCCTAGTCTGCTGGGGACTCAGGGAGTAGGGGAGATGCTCCTGGGATGTGGGACTTTCAGTACTAACACTGGGATGGTACCAGGCAAACCAGGACAAGTTGGTCACCCTACCTTTTGCAGTAACTTAATCTGTTTTCGCAACTGAAATACAGAGTTCTCCTCTTCAGGAGAATTGCCTCTGTCCTGCTGTGTTCCGTTGATGTATTAGTCATGTTGCATCTGAGTGTTTCTGGGAGGAAGGAAGACATACTTTTCTTTCTTTTTTTTTTCTGGAATTTTGTTTTTCTTGAGATGGAGTCTCCCTCTGTCACCCAGGCTGGAGTGCAGTGGCACCATCTCGGCTCTCTGCAGTCTCCACCTTCTGGGTTCAAGTGATTCTCCTGCCTCAGCCTCCTGGTGTAGCTGGGATTACAGGCATGCGCCACCACGCCCAGCTACTTTGTATTTTTAGTAGTGACGGGCTTTCACCATGTTGGCCAGGCTGGTCTCGAGCTTGTGACCTCAGGTGATCCCCCTGCTGGGCTTCCTAAAGTGCTGGGATTACAGGTGTGAGCCACTGCTCCCCGCCTGGAAATTATTTTTTCTCACGTTTGAGACAGCT